GTGAGTGAGATCCCAGTGGAAAGAACAGGTCATCAAAGAAGGAGGTACCTTTCTCTGAAGGGAGGAGAGAACTTCCATTTTGACTATGACCCTGTCTAAATAAGATCAAAAGGCCTCCATAGCCTTGGCAACTCATGACAAGAGCCTAGGCTGATTACTGACACCATAAACAAGAGTGTCAATTTGTTAAGTCAACAACAGGAGTCACTGTGCACTTACTCCTTATGTAGGATCTCTGTCCTAAATGTACTGTACATTGTGATTTAATGCTATAACTAGTACTGAAACAGTATTTTACACTTTATGTTCTGTGTGGGTGCAAACTGATGAAATCTTTACTTAATATATACTGAATTGATCTGTATATAAAGAGAATTGAAAATGAATCTTGATGTGAATGGAATGGGAAAGGGAGCGGGAGAGTTGAGGGTCGTGGGTGGGAGGGAAGTTATGGAGGGGGGGAAGCTATTGTAATCCATAAGCTGTACTTTGGAAATTTATATTCATTAAATAAAAGTTAAAAAGAAACCTGAACATACCATGTGATGCAGACAAAATAAAAGTTTGTATAATATTCCATCATACAGGTATGTCACAATTTGCTTATCCTGTCATCTGCCTCAGTGGCTTTAAAAATAATGATGGCTTTAATATTAATTACCTCAAATATTATTGGGTACTGTAACTGTCACTAATAGAATAAGTTTAAACAAGAATACATTTTCAATACAAAATTAAAAATAAAATAAAAAAATTAGATTTTAGGAGGGAGAATATGGGATGCAGAATAAATGACTATATAAAGTGAGTTATTAAAATTTGCATTTCTCACTGACTATATTTTTGAATAGGTATAAACTGTAGAATGGTTGGATCAAGATAAGTAAGATATACATTATCTTGAATACTTATCATTCTTTTTGTGATGAGAACATTTAAAATCTATTCTCTTGGCAGTTATCAGGCAGGCCTACAATACATTGTTATTAACTATAATCACCAAAATGTACAAAAGACTTTGCTGTGTATTTATTTGAAATTCTTTTTAAAGTTTTAATTGACACTTAAAAATTATATATATTTACGTGGTACCATGTGATGTTTTGATACATGTACATATTGTATAATGTCCAAATCAGAATAAATTTATCTATCTCCTTAAGTATTTATCTTTTCTTTATGGTGAACACATTAAAAATTCTTCATCTAATTTTTTTGTTGTTATTGTTAAGAAGACATATAGTACATTATTATTATTGAAAGCCACCTTATTGTGCATATTTGGTGTTGTGAGTACCAAAACCTCTTAGTCATAACTGACTTAGTAATTGTTAATCAAGTTTTCCATGTTTTTCCCTTCATCCGTACTCTCTGCAGCCTCTCAACTTCTATGACATGAAACATTTTAGATCCCACATATGAAAGAGCATATGGAACTCATCTTCCTGTGCTTGGTATATTTCACTTAACACAATCTCCAGTTCTATCCATGTTGTTACAAATGACAGGATTTCATCCTTTTTATGACTGAATAGTATCCATTGTGTACACGTATCTTGTATTCTTTATCTATTTGTCAGTTGATTAACACTTAGGTTATTTCCATTTCTTGGTTATTGTGGATAGTGCTAAAGTAAACAAGTGAGTATAGATGTCTGTTCAGCAGATTTATTTTATTTCACTTTGATATATGCTTTCTAAGGGGATTGCTGCATCATATGATAGCTCTATTTTTAGTTTTTGAGGACCCTCCATACTGTTTCCCCAAAGGGTGTATTAATTTTGTCCTTCTGCCAATAGTGTGCAAGTGTTTCCTTTTCTCCATGTCTTTTTCAGCTCTTGTTATCTTTTGGATTTTTGATAATAGCTAATTAACTGGAATGAGTTGATACCTTATTGTGATTTTGATTTGCATTTTCTGAAGATTACCAATGTTGAAAATTTTTTCATGTAACTGTTAGACATTTGTATGTCTTTGAAAAACTTCTATTTTGATCTATTGCCAATTTTAAGTTGATGATTTGTTTTTATGCTATTGCATTGAATTCCCTAAATATTCGGGTTGTCTGCCCTTTGCTAGATGTATACTTGCAAGTGTTTTCTCCCATTCAGTAGGCTGTCTTTTCACTCTGTTGATTGCTTCGTTGCTTAGCAGAAGCTCTGTAGTTTGACGACATTCACTTGTCTGTCTTTCTTTTGTTCTCTGTACTTTTGGAGTCTGACACAAAAAACCCTTGCCTGTTGCAACGTCTTAAAGTGTTTCTCCTATGTTTTCTTATAGTAGTTTCATGTTTTACATTCGGGTCTTTAATCCATTTTGATTGATTTTTGTGCATTGTGAGAGATAGAGGGTCTAGTTTCATTCTGTATGCAAATATCTAATTTTCTCAGTACCTTCTACTGAAAAAACTGTCCTTTCTGCAGTGTGTGTTCTTAGCACCTTTGTTAAAGAACAGTTCGGGTGCTGGTGCTGTGGCTCAGTGAGTTAAAGCCCCAGCCTACAGCACTGGTATCTCCAATGGGCGTTGGTTCATGTCCTGGCTGCTCCACTTCTGATCCAGCTCTCTACTATGGCCTGGGAATGCAGTGAAAGAAGGCCCAGGTCTTTGGGCCCCTGCACCCACATGGGAGACCTGGAAGAAGCTCCTGGCTACTGGTTGTGGCCATCTGGGGAGTGAACCAGCAGGTAGATCTCTCTCTGCCTCTTCCTCTCTGTAACTCTGCCTTTCAAATAAATCTATTTTTTTTGGAAGAACAGTTGGATGTAGTAGATGTGTTTGTTTACTTTTAGGCCTCTATTCTCTTCCATCGATCTGTTTGTCTGTGTTTATGCTGTTTTTGTAGTATTTTTGAAGTCCAGTAGCATAATGCCTCCTGCTTTATTTTATTTATTTATTTGCTCAAGATTGCTTTGTCTATTCAGGGTCTCTTGTAGTCCTATATGGTTTTTATTAAGACTTATTTTATTTGTTTGAAAGACAGAGTTACAGAGCGAAAGACACACACAGACACACACAGACACACACACACACACACAGCGCAAGTGAGAGTGCTTCCATCTGCTGGTTCATTCCCCAAATGGTGGCTGAAATGGCCAGGACTGGGCCTGACTGAAGCCAGGAGCCAGGAGCTTTTTTTTGTTCTCCCATGTGGATACAGAGGCCAACTACTTGGGTCATCTTCCATTGCTTTCCCAGGCACATTAGCAGTGGAGCAGCCAGGACTTGAATTGGCACCCATATGGGATGCTGGAACCTCAGGCAACAGCTTTACCCGCTATGCCACAGTGCCAGCCCCTCCATACAAATTTTGATAGTGTTTTTTTTTTTCCTAGTTTTGTGAAAATGTCGTTGACATTTTGATAGGTATTGCATTGAATCTGTAAATTGCTTGGGGTGGCATGGGCATTTTTACATTAATTCTTCTAATTCATGAGCATGAGATAACTTTCCATTTCTTTATGTCTTCTTTCATCAGTGTCCTACAGCTTTCTTTGTAAAGATTTTTCTTTTCTCTGGTAAAATTTATTCCTAGATATTTTTTCTGGATTTTGGAAATGGAATTGTTCTCTTGATTGCTTTTTTATATAACTTGTTATTGGTAAATAATACTATTGACTTTTGCACATTGACTTTGTATATTGCAGCTTTTTCAAATCACTTATTAATTATAATATCTTCTTGTTGAAAAATTTGGGATTTTTTCTTTTCTTTTTAAAGATTTATTTATTTATTTAAAAAGCATATTTACAGAGAGGCAGAGTCAAAGAGAGAGAGAGAGAGGTCTTCCATCCACTGGTTCAATCCCCAAATGGCCACGATGGCCGGAGCTGTACCAATCAGAAATCAGGAGCCAGGAATTTCTTCCAGGTCCCCCATGTGGGTGCAAGGCTTTGCCCATCTTCTACTGCTTTCCAAGGCCATAGCAGAGAACTAGATTGGAAGGGGGGCAGCCAGGACTAGAACTGGTGCCCATATGGGATGCCGACACTGTAGGCGGTAGCTTTACCTGCTATGCCACAGTGCTGGCCCTGGGATTTTCTATATAAGATTGTGTCATCTGCAAATAGTGACAGTTTGACTTATCATTTTCCAATTTGGATGCCCCCCCCCCCTTTTGTCTTTCCTGATTGCCCTAGCAAGAATTTCTGGTACTATGTTGAATAAAAGTGGTGACATTTTTGTCATTGAAATCTAGAAAAACTTTAGCTTTTCCCCATTCAATATGGTATTAGGCATTGGCTTGTTATAGAGGGGCTTTATTATGTTGAAATATATGCCTTCTATACCTCATTTGATCAGAATTTTTTACCATGAAAGAATATTGGAATTTATAAATGCCTCTTCTGCATTTATTAAGATGGTCATCTGGTTTTTACCATTCATTCTGTTGAAGGGGTATATTATATTTATTATATTTATTGATTTGTATATATTGAACTGTACTTGCATTCTTGGGATAAATTCTACTTGATCATGGTGAGTAATCTTTTTCATGTCCTATTGGATTTATTTGCTAGTATTTTGTTGAGGATTTTTGCATCTATGTTTATCAAGGATATTGATCTGTAGCTTTCTTTTTTGTTGTTTTCTTGTCTTTTTTTAGTATCAAGATAATTTTGGCCTTGTAGAATGAGGTTGGAAAAATTCTATCCTCTATTTTTTTTAATATTTTAAGAAGAGTGAATATTTGTTCTTTAAATATTTGGTAGAATTCAGTGGTGAAACCACCTTACACTGGACTTTTCTTTGAGAGGAGAGTTTTTTTAAAGATTTATTAATTTATTTGAGAGGCAGAGTTACAGAGAGAGAAAGAGAGAAAGAGCGAAAGAGAGAAAGAGAGAGAGAGAGAGAGAGAGATCTATCCACTGGTTTGCTCCCCAAAGGCCACAACGGCCAGAGCTGGGCTGATCCAAAGCTAGGGATCCAGGAGCTTCTTCCAGGTCTCCCACATGGGTGAAGGTGCCTAAGCACTTGGGCCGTCTTCTGCTTCTTTTCCAGGCCATCAGCAGGGAGCTGCATCAGAAATGGAGCAACCGGGACTCGGACTGGTGCCCATATGGGATGCTGGAGCCACAGGTAGAGATTTAACCTATTACATCACAGTGCAGGCCTTGAGATATATATATATATATATATATATATATATATATATATATATGTATATATATATTTTAACTGATTCAATCTTGTTTCTCAGTCATCTGTTTAGGTATTGTATTTCTTCATGAATCAGTTAAAGTGTATCTGTCCAGGAATTTGTACATTTCTTATAGGTTTTCAAATTTATTGGCATAGAATTGCTCAGAATAATCTCTAACAATTCTCTATATTTTGGCGGTGTCAGCTGTAACATCTCCATTTTCATCTCTGATTTTATTTATTTGAATTTTCTCTCATTTTCCCTTTCTTAGTATAGCTAAAAGTTTTGTCAAATTTCTTTATTTTTACACAGAACAATCTATCCTTTTCTTATATTTTGGAGTATTTTTAGTCTCTTTTTCAATTATTTATTCTCTGAGCTTTATAATTTCTTTCATTCTACTAATTTTGGATTTGATTTGTTCTTGTTTTTCTAGTACTTTGAGGTGCAGTGGCAGGTTGTTTATTTGAGATCATTCTGCTTTTTAAAAAAAAATAGAATTTATTTATGCAGATGAGAGGCAAAGACACAGAGACAGATAGAGCCAGGTAAAGAGAGAGCGGGAGCTCCCATCCACTGGTTCACTCCCACAATGAGGTTTCACCTCACTGCAGTTAGAATAGATCTCATATAGAAATCAACAAACAACAAATGCTGGTGAAGATGGAGGGAAAAAGGTGAGGATATGGTAATGTAAACTAGTACAGCCATTGTGGAAGACAGCAGGGAGTTACCTCAGAAAGCTGAAAACAGATACACTGTATGACCAAGCAATCCCACTCCTGGGAAATGGAGTCCTCATTGAAAGAGTTATCTTTATCCCCATGTTTATTGCAGTGCAATTCCCAATAGTTAAGATATGGAATCAACCCGGATGTCCATCAGCTGATGACTGGATAAAGCAATTATGGTATATACACTATGGAATACTACTCAGTGGTTAAAAAAAGAAAGAAAGAAATCCTGTCATTTGCAACAAAATGGATGCAACTGGAAATCATTATACTTACTGAAATATGCCAGTCCCCATATACAAATACCATATATTTTCCCTGATCTGTGGTAAGTAATAGAGTACCAAAAATGTAATGTATATGAGTGAAATTGACATTTTTATCTTCAATGATTGTTTACAGCCCTGAACAGTATGTGTTTTCTTCTTCTTTTTTTTTTTTTTTTTTAAGAAGTTTTTATTTACTTGAAAGGCAGAGTTACAGAGAAGCAGAGACAGAGAGAGACAGGTCTTTCATCTGCTGGTTCACTCCCCAGATGGCTGAAACAGCTGGAGCTGGCCAATCTGAAGCCAGGATCCAGGAGCTTCTTTTGGGTCTCCCACATGGGTGCAGGGGCCCAAGAACTTGGACCAACTTCCACTGCTTTCCCAGGTCAAAGCAGAGAGCTGGATAAGAAGTGGAGCAACTGGGACTTGAAACAGTGCCCATGTGGGATGCCAGCACTGCTGGTGGTGGCTTTACCTGCTATGCCACAGCGCCGACCCTCTTTTTTTTCCCTTGTAACTATTTGATGAACTCTTTACTTAGTGTAGAGTTAATTTGATGAGTATAAAGTAAACTGAAAATAGATCATTGTAAAAATTAATAGAGGGGTTAGGAGAGGAAGAAGGAGGAAGGGTGGGAGCATGGGCAGGAGGGAGGGCAGGGTAGGAAGTATCACTATGCTCCTAAATCCATATACATGAAATACATGAAATTTGTATACCTTAAATAAAATTTAAAATGTAAAATGTATTTATTCATATGATAGGCAGAGTAACAGAGAGAGATAGAGACAGGTAAAGAGAGAGTGAGAGAGCTCCCAAATCACAACAGTAGGTTGAGCAAGGCTGGAACAATGTCAGGAGCTAGGTTTTCCCTGTGAGTGGTAGGGACCCAGTTACTTGAGCCGTCTCCATTTCCTCCTGGGATCTGCAATAGCAGGAAGCAGGAGTCAGGATCCAGAGTTGGATTCTGAGCCTTTGTATTCTGATATGGGATCTGGGCGTTTTAACTGCTAAGCTAAACTTAACATTATAAAGATAAAAAAGAGATAAAAATGCTAAAAAAATATACTAACGCTCCATTCCTTCCCATGTTTTGAATTTTTGATATACCACTTTACAACTTTCCATATTGCTTATTTCTTAACAACAGTTACTATTTTAAAATTGTTTTCTGCTTTTATCTTCATTGAATCATTTCTCTACATTTTCTTGAAGTTCTTTGAGTGTTCTACAAGCAGCTATTTTTAATTTTTCATGCAAGAATTTACTGGTGTCAACTGCTATCTAGTTGGTTTCTGACACTTTATTTATTTCCATAGGTGAAGTCGTGAATTCCTGGAAGTTCTTGATAAGTATTGGTATAGAATGTTACCAGTGAATTGAAGGTTAGTCATTTTTCCCAATCTTCATACTTTGGCTTTCATACTTCTGACTGCCTTCCAGAAAGTTTAAGCAGTTAGTTTTATTTTCTCTGAGCTATTAGACACTTCTTTTATTTAACACTGGATGGAGCACAAACTTGAGCTTAGCCGAGTCCACTGCTGGTGTGCAATCACTATTTAAGCACAAGAGGGAGTCCCAGTCCCAGTTTTCTCCCAATTCTGCAGTTGGTGCGTTGCTCAGAATGAACTGGGGAAAGGTAGTCAGTCTTTGCCAGCCTCTTCCTGAGGCTGGATTGGGTCCACAAACCTAGTTCTGTGGCTGCCAGTGCTATGATCCTAGGTCACGCCCAGAGCCTACAGCCTGGCAGTACCAGTGCAATACTGGCGTAGAACCAAGGACCACACTACTATGGGCTGTTCCTGTTGAGGTAACTTGTGCCCTGAGGCTACTACAACCAGGAGAAGGTGATGTGGGCTAGATACTCATCTGAGCAACTGGAGCCATGGATCTCCACTTGGCACCATAGTAGGGCCAGGGGATCTATCCATTGGCACTGGCTTGGGGGCAAGGACTGTTGGCATCTGTCCAGCGTTGTCCCAAGAGACAGTCCTGAGCTCACTTTCTCAAACTATTCTTTTGCAGTTAAAGTCTTGCTACTTGCTGTCTGCCTGAGGTTGGAGTGGAGGTACTCCTTTGGTCATCTAGGCTGATAGTAAGCTAGGTTATGCCTGGATCTCACAGTCACCAGTCCCTCTTTATTCTCAAGGCTGATGGTGATATAATTTGAAACAAGTCTGACCCACCAGGATACAGGTCTCCCTCTGACGCTGGTTCAGGACTAGAGGCTCCAGCTGTGAACACTGACCTAACGATAGAGATCTTTTGGGATTTATCTGCTTCTGGGTCTCACTATGACAGTCTGGCACTGAGCTCCAAATCAGAGTCTTGGGTTTACTTTCCTTCCATACTCCCCAGTGGTTGGAATATTGCCTTGCAGTCTGCTAGAGACTGAGAAAGGCTGGTGGAGGAGATGCTTTGGCCACCTGGCTCGAAAGGATCAAAACACTCAGTCTGCAGAAACAGGGCTGGGAACTGGGGCCACAGGGTCCTGTGTGGCCTTGGGGTTTACCACCCTGCTCTAGTACTGGCTTTCAAATGTAATGTATGTGATCAGTTCCCTCTCCCTCTCCAAGTAGGAGCTGAGGCATCTCTCTCCATATTGAGCCACTTGGATTTGAGTGAGGGATGACATAAGCAACTCTTTTTTTCTTCTTTCTTCAATGCATTTTTTTCCTATTACTATACTAAAACCAGGCACCAGGGTCTCTTGCCTGGCTTCTTTAGCTCTTGTGAAGGTGACTTGGGGGCATGAATAGTTGTCCAAATTGGTGTCTTTATGGGGAGATGATTGCTAGAGTGCCTTATTCAGCTGCCATCTGGCTCTGCTCTTCCCGCTGTGTATTTTTATCTATTAGCTCATGCACTCTTTTTAAAAGGAGAGGGATGCATGTCCACTTTCAGGGACCACGAGAAGTCTCTGGAAGCCTGGTAGGCTTTCCCATCTCCATGGAAACACCTCCTCATCATGAACTAGTGGTGTTGGAGTAAGAAGAGCACTGAGTGATTGCAGGCGCTAACCGGGCTCTGTAGAGGGTTGGGCTTTCTATTTCTGGGAAACGAGGGAGGGAGGATGTGGTTTCAGGGAACTGAAAGAATGCCCAGCAGCTGCGTGATCAGAGGAGAATGAACTGAAATGCGGAAATTTGGGACAGTATTTGCTGAAATTTCTAGAAACTCCTTTCTCTAGGAGATGAGCCTTAGCTTCAGAAAAACCTGTTGCTGCAGAAAAACTGTGTGTTGTGTGTATCTACTGATACTGGCCGTGGAGGGGAGGGTGGCTGCAGGAGCGTGTTTTGTGGGTTCTTTCCCTCAGCTTAGTATAGAAATAAGCAGCCAGAGAACAATTTGCAAAGAGGCAGAAACTTTTACTACATAGAAAAGAAACTTTGATTGGAAAGCGACAGAGAAAGGTGCGGTCCGAGAGGAGAGCAGGCAGAGTGCCCAGGTGGGACACTGGCTCTGAGCAAGTGTCCCGGGCTTTTAAGGCATTACTGCTTTTCATTGGGTCATTCTGTGGGGGTTTCACATACTGTATGTTGACTGGCTTGGGGCTCATGGAGATAGCAGGGGTCTCCTGGAGACAGTCTGTTTCCTTAGGGGCTCAGCCCCCTCCGCTGGTAGCTCGGGGTGGAAGATTGCAACTAACTTGAAGGTGTGGTTTAAAACCCCAAGGGTCACACAAGATGGCCTGGACCTCCTGGAGCCAGTCCACTCTCCCCAGGGGCTCAATCCCTTCCTCTGCCGGCTCCGGGTGAAAGATAGCGACCACTCTAAAGGTGTCATTTAGGCTGCAAGGTCACACATGCAGCTATTAGAGGGGGAGATGCCAGTTAGTCTGGGGACAAGCTTTCCAGCTGCAGCTGGCAGCCTGCTTATAAAGGACACTCTACCTACGACCGAGAGGCCCACGGATTCCTCCCACCCCACAGCCTCACCGGATGGCCTCATCTGCCATGACTTCTTCTTCTTCTTTTTTTAAAAAGATTTATTTATTTATTTGAAAGGCTGAGTTACACAGAGAAAGAAGGAAAGGCAGAGAGAGAGAGAAGTCTTCCATCCACTGGTTCATTCCCCAGTTGGCTGCAACGGCCGGAACTGTGTGGATCTGAAGCCAGGAGCCAGGAGCTTCTTCCTGGTCTCCCACGTGGGTGCAGGGGCCCAAGGACTTGGGCCATCTTCCACTACTTTCCCAGGACATAGCATAGAGCTGGATCGGAAGTGGAGCAGCCGGGACTAGAACTGGCGCCCATATGAGATGCTGGCACTGCAGGCGGCGGCTTTATCTGCTATGTCACTGAGCCGGCCCCCATGGCTTCTTTTTAAGAGTCTGAGTTTAGCCTTTTGCCTGGAACTACAAGATAACTAGAAACTTTGAACAAAAATAGGGCAGTTCTTTTGTTGGAAGGGATCAGCACGCTTAAGTCTTGGCCTATGAAAGAACACAGTAGGCTTTTTGTGAGCAATTTGTGTCCTCTTTATGAGGCTGTGTGAGATAATTTTTTTGCAGTATGAGGAAAAACTTTAGAACTAGAAAGACTGAACAAATGCAGTGACTTGTTATAATAACCTCAAGCTGATTGTGTTTCCTTCTTTGCTTTTTATGCTTAGAAGTGACATGGGATAGGTAGGCAGCTAGCTAGGTAGGTCTGCTGAGCTGGAAGTCATAAGCCCCATATGATTCTATCTTCCTACTTGTCAATCAAAATGCCCTCTTTCCCAGGATACATCTGCTTCATCAGGGACCTAGGGAGGACTGCCATGAAAATACGGATGTTGAACTCTATAGGGAATTTGTGGAGATGCCATGTAATTTCCAGGGGACTTTATACCTAGAGGTACCACCCCCAACCTCAAAGTCAAGGCCAATAATTGGGAGGGGCGCTCTCTCTCTCTCTCTCTCTCTCTCTCATTCCCTCTCTCCTGCTATAAAACACAGCTGAAGGGGCTGCAGGGTGCTCTTTCCCTATTTCCCCTACCCTAACTTCTTTCAGGAATCTTCTGGCCCCATGCTGTGTGTGTGTGTTCACGTTTTCACCTTTTAAATAAATTTTTATCACTTTGTGCACCTTCTATGTATCAGCACTTATCATGTGTGTCTTTGTACATGACAAAAGCCTGGAGTAAAAATTTATGCACCCCTCTCCCACATCAGAAGCACAAAGATTTCAGGCCCACTTTTAACTACATAGAACCTTAAAAAATAATGCTTTTAACATTGTTTCTGGATTTATTTTCCTTTCCAATTCCTCTTTATATTAATTTATCACAAATAGTTCAATAAAGTGATATGTAAATTTGAGCAGTTTTCTATTCATCAGATATAACTGATTGAGAATCTCCCGATTAAAAAAAAGATTACCCATATATAATGATAAACATAAAGCAGCCACTTTCTAAATAATTCTTTTGAGAAATGCCTGGAACTTATTTAAAATTTAAATGGAAAAGTATTTCTAAGATATGTAAAAGAAAACTTAAATGGATAACTATATAATATTCTCATATAGAAAGAAAGGTATTTTAGTCTTCTTAGATCTCCATGATGAAACAGCACAGACTGGGGCTGCTAGGGTCTGAATGTTTGTGTCCCCCTAAAATTTGCACTTTGAAATCATCACCCCAAAATGATAGTATTAGGAAGTAGGCTCTTTGATGATTAGATCTTGATGAAGTAGAGCCTCCAAAAATGGGATTAGTTCCCATTTCAAGAGACCCTGGTGTATTCCCTTATGCCTCCCACCATCAGTAGCTTCCATCTATGAAGCAGGAAACTCATCAAGACACCAAGTCTCTTGGTACCTTGATCTTGAACTTTCTGCTTTCCAAAACTGTGAGAAATTTCTGCTGTTTATGAACTATTCAGCCTATAGTATTTTGTTATTACAGTATCCCAAACAGGCTACGACAGGTGGTTTTAACCACAAAAATTAATTTTGTCATAGTTCTGGAAGTCAGAAGTCCACGAACAAGGTGCCAATACATTCTGTTTCTGGTCAGGGCTCTCATTTTGACTTGAAGACAGATGGATTTTGCTGTGTCCTCACATGGCCTTTTTTCTGTGCACATGCTGTGGGTGAGAACTCTGCTGTTCCTCCTATTCTTATAAGGGCACCACTTCTTTTGAATTAGATGAATTGATGACTTGATTTAGCCTTAATCACTTTTCTAAAAGGCCAAATCACTTTGCGGACAGGAGAAGTGTTAGGACTTCAATATATGAATTTTTGGGGAACACAATTCAGTTTATAACAAAGGGAGGCAATGAAGACATTGGCTCAAGCCTGACAAATGAATTTCCAGTTCTGGTGCTGAGGCTGTTTTGTTGTTGTTGGTGGGGGGGGGGGGTTGTCAGGGGCTAGAGGCTGAGGAACCTAAATATGATTGCTTCCTTCATCTGAAAGAATACATTCCAACATGTTCTGAGTAAGAGTATATGGGGATTAAGGGGACTGGAAAGATTATTCACGTTAGGTACTGAACATAATAGAAAATTATACATATGTGCATATATTTATATATTAAAGATTCATTTATTCATTTGAAATGCGGAGATACAGAGAGAGAGGGAGACACATAGAGAAGGAGAGAGTTTCCATCTTGGTTCACTCCCCAAATGGCTGCAATGGCCAGAGCTGGGCCAGGCCAAAGCCAGGAGCCAGGAACTTCATCCGGGTCTCCCATATAGGTGGCAGGGGCCCAAGCACTTGGGCTATCTTCTGCATTTTTCCCAGGCACATTATTAAGGAGCTGGATTAGAAGTTGAGCAGCAGGGACTCAAACTGGTGCTCACATGTGATGCTAACCCCAAGCATGCAGGGGCGGCTTGACCTGCTGGCCCCAAGCATATTCACTTTTAACATAGGACGCCGGCACCCCGGGTTCTAGCCCTGGTCGGGGTGCTGGATTCTGTCCCGGTTGCACCTCTTCCAGGCCAGCTCTCTGCTGTGGCCAGGGAGTGCAGTGGAGGATGGCCCAAGTCCTTGGGCCCTACACCCGCATGGGAGACCAGGAGAAGCACCTGGCTCCTGGCTTCGGATCAGCACGGTGTGCCAGCCGCAGCAGGCCTGCCGCAGCGGCCATTGGAGGGTGAACCAATGGAAAAGGAAGACCTTTCTCCCTGTCTCTCTCTCTCACTGTCCACTCTGCCTGTCAAAAAAAAAAAAAAAAAAAAAAAAAGATAAGTCTTTAGGAAAGGGGGAGTTTGCATTTACTTATTTATTTATATTTGTAATAAATGATGCAAAATTGATAGCAAAGGGGGAAATTCCCTTGTCCTCCTCATTAAAAACAAAATGTAGATGTATTACAGTTAAGTGATTTAAAAAAATCAAATCACTGAAAGATACAAGCAAATCTTTATCAAATCTTTGAAGATACCAGTATTTTACTTTTTAAATGCAGAAGTCATGAGAATAAGATTATAAGAAATATAGATTTTTCGTAGATAAGAGTCAAAACTTTTGCATGTTTGAAAAGGAGAAATAAAAAATAATCAAAAGTATCTGTTACCTGTATGAGAGACACATGGTGGCACTTGGGAAAATGTGTCATTTTCTTTACAGGGCTCTCCCTTTCCATGAACTTAGTGCTGTGTAATTACTTCCTCCCTTTCTCCTTAAATTATATAAAATATATACAATCAAATTCAAGGGTTTGTTGTATACATATGCAAGGACCCTTTCCTAAGTTTATAAGAAAGTGGAATTAAACAATGTTAATTTTTTTTGAAAAAAAAAATCTCAGAGATCATGCATATGAGTGGGTTTTAAAAACCTTCATGGGAAATGAATATTAAGAAAGTGTGCATGGATTTTGAAATATTTTTGCACCAAAATAAACTTATCACTCATTATTTTGAAAAATTTTGTTATCATGAGAGGCAAAGACTCTCACATCTACTGTTTCACTCCCCAAATGCCTAGAAGCCAAGAATTCAGTTCAAGTAGTTGAGTGGCAGGGACCCAGCCACTGGAGCCATTACTGGTGCCTCCCAGGGTGTTCATTAGCAGGAAAGTGCAATCAGGAGTGACACTGGGACTGCAACCCAGACACTGCCATATGGGTTGGGGCATCCCAAGCAGTGTCTTAGCTGCTGGGCCAAATGCCCACCCTAGACTTATTTTATCAATTATATTTTTCTAGAAATGTTTTAAAATATACTTGTGTCTATTTGTGTATGTAGTGGTGCCTAGTAAGCCTCTGTGTACTTTAAAAAGATTTATTTATTTATTTCAAAGGCAAAGCAAGGTGGTGGGGGAGAAGGAGAAAGAAGGAGAGAAAGAAAGAAAGAGATCTTCCACCCACTGGTCCACTCTCTAAATGGCCACAACAGTCAAGTGTTGGACAGGCTAAAGCCAGAAGTCATGAGCTCCTTCCTGGTCTTCCATATGGTGGGAGGGGCCCATGTACATGGGCCATCTTCCACTGCCGTCCAAGGCACACTTGCAGGAAGCAGAATGGCTGGGGCTGGAACCAGGCACTCTCATATGGGATTGTTGGCCCAGCAAGTGGTGACTTTACCTGCCACCCTGCAACACCAATACCAGTCTGTGTGTGTGTCTCTGTGTGTTTGAGAAGTTTGTGTGGGTAGGGTGAGACAAGTGAGTGTGGATTAGTTCTTTTATGAAAAAAATTTTACTACTGATTTTTAAAAATTTATTTAAAAAGCAAGTAGAGATGGAGGGAGGGAGGAAAGGGGGGAGAGAGAGAGAGAGAGAGAGAGAGATCTTCCATTTGCTTGTTCATTCCCCTATTCGTATGCTTGCAATTGCCAGGGCTAGGCCAGGACAAAGCCAGGAGCCTGGGACTCAATCCAGGTCTCCCTTGTGAGTGTTAGGAACCCAAGCACTTGAGACATCATCCACTGCTTTCCCAGGTGCTTTAGCAGTAAACTGATCGAAATCCAGGACTCAACTAGGCACTTTGATAAGCGATGCAAGCATTCCAACTGGTGGCTTAATCCACTGCACTACAATGCTCACCTCATAGCTCTTTAACTAGTTTAATCTCATATCCTACTTCCTCCTGCAAAACCATCTTGAGGACTGCCATGTCTCGCATAAATTGTGTAACATTAGGCTAGGGAGAGAAGAAACTGGTCTGGGATGTGCTTTAGTCTGTCCAGGCTATTATAACAAAACACGATAAGCTGTGTCACTTAAAAATAATAGAAATTTATTTCTCACTCAATCTTCTTGCAGCTGGAAAGGCCAAGACCAAGGCACTGAGAGATCCTGTTTCTGATGAGGGCTGCTGCCTCTTTCACAGAGCAAGCCTATTATTTATTTATTTCAATTATTTATTTATTAGAGAGAGACAGTAAGAGGGAGAGATAAAGCACTCCTGTCTCCTGGTTCATTCCCCAAATGCCCACAGTGACCAAGGCTGGGCTGGACCAGGCTGAGCCAGGCTGACCTTGGGAGCTGGGAACTCAATCCGGATCTGGACATGGATGGCAGAGACACAACTACCTGGATCGCCACCACTGCCTTCCAGGATCTGCATTGGCAGGCAACTGGAGTCAGGACCCAGAGCCAGGAATTCAACCATGGTACTCCCATCTGTGACAAAGGTGTCTTAACCTGTTTATTAATTCATAGGCCAAAGACCCTTTTTACTGTGTTCTCACATGGTAGAGTGGACAGGGGGTCCCCTTGACCCTCTTTTATAAGGACACTAATCCCATTCACCAGGACTCTGCCAGCTCATACCTTGATCACCTTCCAATGCTCCCCCTCATGATACCATACCCCTGGGACTAAGGATCTCAAAATATGAATTTGGGGGGACGCAAACATTCAGACTATAATGGGGTGAGACTGATTTCCAGGGACCAATTCTGCTTCCTCTGATTATACCTGGGGTAATCCTTGTTTTCTCACTCTCCCCGCCCCCAGTAGGCCTTTCAGAGTGGACAACGTGTCCTGACATCCACCCCCTCACTTCTCCTCTTCCTTCTGCTTTTCTGTTGGGGTGGCTGGTACAGAGAGGTGGCTGATGCTCCATCCTGGACTTGGGGAAAGGGGAGAACTTGCAGCCCTTGGCTCTTGGCACTTCTTCTGGCCCTTCCTTCATTAGTAGTTGCAACAAAAGTGCTGTTTACAATGGCAATTAATGGCAAAAAGGAAAAGTAATTTGACATCAAAGTTTAAAACAGTCACCCAGGAGTCGGCATTTTGGTGTAGTGGGTAAAGCCCATGATGCTGGCATCCCATATAGGTGCTGTTGTGAATGAGCTCCTAAGGGGACCATGGCTGGGGGACCCACACCATCAGGTGACTGTGGCTGATGCCATGCTGTTCTGTGGGTCAGTGACAGGGCACGCATCCCCAAGGTGCAACTGTGCATGCCAACCTGCCTATCTGTGAGCCTAATGGGCACTGGTTTGTGTCTCAGTTGCTCTACTTCTGAACCAACTCCCTGCTCATGGAAAAGCAGTGGATGATGGCCAAATTCTTGGGCCACTGCTATCCAAGTGGGAAACCCAGATGAAGCTCCTAGCTCCTGGCTCCTGCCTGGCCCAACCCTGGCCATTGCAGACACTTGGGGAATGAAACCAGTGGATGGAAGATATCTCTCCCTCTCTCTGTGTCTCTCCCTCTCTGAACCTCTGACTCCCGAATAAATAATCTTTAAAAAAAAAGTCACCCAGGCCAGTGCCATGGCTCTGCCTGCGGCGCCGGCATCCCATATGGGTGCCGGGTTCTAGTCCCGGTTGCTCCTCTTCCAGTCCAGCTCTCTGCTGTGGCCCAGGAGGGCAGTGGAGTATGGCCTAAGTGCTTGGGCACCTGCTCCTGCATGGGAGACCAGGAAGAGGTACCTGGCTCCTGGCTTTGGATCGGCGCAGCGCTGGCCGTAGAGGCCATTTGGGGGAGTGAACAAACGGAAGGAAGACCTTTCTCTCTGTCTCTCTCTCTCTCACTGTCTATAACTCTACCTGTCAAATAAATAAAAAGAAAAATAAAAAAAGTCACCCAAACAATAGCTAAAGGGCTAATATCTTTGCTGTATATATGTTTGACAAAACTCAATAAAAAGTGCACCAAACCACAAAAGATAGAAGATCAATAGACATGAACCACTGAGTACAAAAGAGAAAACAGGAGTCTCAAACTCAGGGACTTTGGAAGTAGACTGCATGGGTTAAAATACTCCTCTTACCTCTACTTGTATATCTTTGGATAAGTTAGTTAATTTCTATATCTTAGTTTCTTCATCTGTAAAATGGGGATAGTAAGAGTAATAATGATAACACTTAACATCTATGATTATTTTAAGTACCAAAATACAAAATTCCTAGAATATGCCTAGCATATATGCTATTTAAGTGATACATTAATAATGTTATTATCATTGCACTGGAGATGTAAAAATGGGGCTGTTGCTGTGGCGCAGTGGCTTAAGCTACTGCTAATAATGGCAGCATCCCATGTATGTGCTTATTCAGGTCCCAGCTGCTCCACTTCTGATCCAGCTCCCTGCTAATGTACCTGGGAAAGCAGGTGAAGATGGCCCAAGTGCTTGGGCCCCTGCCACCCACATAGGAGACCTGGATGAAGGTCCTGGCTCCTGACTTTGGCCTGGCCCAGCCCTGGCCATTGTGACCATTTGGGGAGTGAACCAGCAGATGGAAAATATCTCTCTCTGTAAATCTGCCTTTCAAATAAATAAATAAATCTTAAAAAATGTAAAAATGCTTAGTGAAAAGTAGTAAGAAACTACATAAAATTAAAAAATGTAAAACACAAGGCATAGTGAAATTGCCATTCTTTTAAAAAATTTATTTATTTATTTGAAAAACAGAGTTACACAGAGAGGGAGGGAGAGAGACAGAGAGAGAGAGAGAGAGATCTTCCATCTACTGGTTCACTCCCCAAATGGCTGCCACAGCCAGGGCTGGACCATGCTGAAGTCAGGAGCTAAGAGTTTTATCCAAGTCTCCCACATGGGGGCAGGGACCCAAGGACTTGGGCCATCCTCCTCTGCTTTCCTGGCTGCATTAGCAGAGAGCTGGATCAGAAGTGGAGCAGCCAGGACATGAATGGGTGCCCCTATGGGATGCCAGCGTTGCAGGTGGTGGCCTCACCTCTACACCACAATATGCTGACCCCAAAATTGGTGTTCTTACACAAGGAGGGTAGTATTTAATACAGATTTCATACTTAGGGTAAGAAACTTTGTTTTGCACACCTTGAATTATCAGAACTGTTGACCTGGTAATTGCAATATATTTTAAGTTTTACTTATTTATTTGAATGGTAGGTAGAAAGAGATCTTCCATCCACTGGTTCTCTTTCCAAATGGCTACAAAGGCTGATTGTGGTCCAGGCCAAAATCAGGAACCTGGAACTCCATCCATGTCTCCCATGTGGATGGCAGGGACCCAAGCACTTGCGTCATTTTTACTGCTTTCTCAAAGACATTGGCAGGCAGCTGGATTGGAAGTGGAGCAGCTAGGACTCAAACTGGCCTCAGATATGGGATGTCAGCATTGCAGGTGGCAGCTTAACCTGCTGAGCCATAAGGCTGCCCCTAGTGACTGTACTCTTAAGAATCCATCTTTTTTTTTTTTTTTTTTTTTTTTTTTGACAGGCAGAGTGGACAGTGAGAGAGAGAGACAGAGAGAAAGGTCTTCCTTTTCCGTTGGTTCACCCCTCAATGGCCGCTGCGGCCGGCGCACTGCGCTGATCCGAAGCCAGGAGCCATGTGTTTTCCCTGGTCTCCCATGCAGGTGCAGGGCCCAAGGACTTGGGCCATCCTCCACTGCACTCCTGGGCCATAGCAGAGAGCTGGACTGGAAGAGGAGCGACTGGGACAGAATCCGGCGCCCTGACCGGGACTAGAACCTGGTGTGCCGGCGCCGCAGGCGGAGGATTAGCCTGTTGAGCCGCCGCGCTGGCCAGGAGTCCATCTTAAAGAGTGATCTTAAAAGTTCCTTTTTGTATCAGGATGACCATTTTAGCATTATTTGTCATCATATATAGTTGTGAATAAACTTTCAGAAATGGAATAAAGAAAATCACAAAGCTAAGATTTATTAAGGGCTTCTCCAGCTGCTACACTTGGCTCTTTTCATCAATTTTTTTTCACTTAATCATCACAATGACCTGAAAAGGCAGATACTATTATTGTTTCCCTTTTTTTTTTATCCAGCTAACAAAATGTTTGTGATCAAAAGAATAACTTGAACAATGCTTGTGCAAGTGGTAAATATAAAAGCAAGATACTTATTGTAAACAATGTGATTTTGGCTTGCATATTAAAATGTTTCTGTGAGCAAAATCTATTGAAAAAATTCCATGAAAGGCAAAGAGTTGGGGCCAGCATTGTGGCATAGTGGATAAAACCACAGCCTGCAATGCCAGCATCCCATATGGGCACCAGTTCCAGACCCAGCTGCCCTGCTTTCGATCCAGCTCGCTGATAATGGCCTGAGAAAAGCAGCGGAAGATGGTCTAAGTGTCTGGGTCCTTGCCACCCACATGGGAGACCTGGAAAAGGCTCCAGGCTCCTGGCTCCTGGCTTCGGCCTGGTCCAGCCCTGGCTATTGTAATTTGAGGAGTGAACCAGTAGATGAAAGATCTCTGTCTCTGTTTCTCTCTCTCTAACTCTGCTTTTCAAATAAATAAATAATTTTTTTAAAAAAGACAGTTGTTATTTATTAAAATTTGTGTTTGTGAATGTTCAAAAAAATTTTTTAACGATTCATTTATTTTTTCTTGAAAGTCAGAGTTACACACAGAGAGAAGGAGTGTCAAAGAGAGAAAGAGAGGTCTTCCATCCACTAGTTCACTCCCCAATTGACTCCAAAAGCCGGCGTTGCACTGATCTGAAGCCAGGAGCCAGGAGCTTCTTCCAGGTCTCCCACACAGGTACAGGGGCCCAGGGACTTGGGCCATCTTCTACTGCTATCCCAGGCCCTAGCAGAGAGCTTGATCGGAGGTGGAGCAGCCAGGACTTGAACCGGCGCCCATATGGGATGCTGGTACGGCAGGCGGTGGCTTTACCATAACAATAAAGCTTTCCAACGTGACTTTACTTTTTTAAAACATAATTATTTTATTTATTTAAAAGACAGAGCTACAGAGAGAGGTAGAGACACAGAGAGAGAGAGGTCTTCCATTCCACTGGTTCACTCCCCAAATGACCACAATGGCCAGAGCTGAGCTGATCCAAAGCCAGGAGCCAGCAGGTCCCCAACGTGGGTGCAGGGGCCCAAGGACTTGGGCTATCTTCCACTGCCTTCCCAGGCCATAGCAGTGAGCTGGATGGGAAGAGGAGCAGCCAGGACACGAACAGGCGCCCATATGGGATGCCGGTGCTGCAAGGCTGGGGCTTTAACCCACTGCGCCACAGTGCCAGCCCTCAATCACAATTTTAAAAAATAAAAAATAACAGGATCAGCACTGTGGCTTAGTGGGCTAAGCCTCTGCCTGTGACTCTGGCATCCCATATGGGTGCTGACTCATGTCCTGGCTGCTCCTGTTCCAATCCAGCTCTCTGCTATGGCCTGGGAAGGCAGTGGAAGATGACCCATGTGGTTGGGCCCCTGCACCCTCATGGGAGACTTGGAGGAAGCTCTTGGCTCCTGGCTTCAGATCACTCAGCTCCAGCCATTGCAGTCCTGTTCTGGCTGTTGCGGCCATTTGGGGAGTGAACCAGTGGACTTGGGCCATCTTCTGCTGCTTTCACAGACCAAAGCAGAGAGCTGGATTGCAAGAGGAGCAGCTGGGACACCAACTGGTACCCATATAGGATGCCAGCACTGCAGGCAGAGGCTTAGCATATTATGCCACAGCGCCGGCCCACAGCCAGATTTCTAAGAGCAATAGTTTGGGGTAAGCATTTAGCCTAGCAGCAAAGATGCCTGCATCCTAAAACAGAGTATCTGGGTTTGATTTCTAGCTCAAGCTCTTTTTTTTTTTTAACTTTTATTTAATGAATATAAATTTCCAAAGTACAGCTTATGGATTACAATGGCTTCCCCCCCATAACGTCCCTCCCACCCGCAACCCTCCCCTCTCCCACTCCCTCTCCCCTTTCATTCACATCAAGATTCATTTTCAATTCTCTTTATCTACAGAAGATCAGTTTAGCATACATTAAGTAAAGATTTCAACAGTTTGCTCCCACACAGAAACATAAAGTGAAAAATAATAGATGATTTTTTAAATGATGATGAAATCAGATCAGACCTATTGTCATGTTTAATCCCAGTGAGAGTCAAGCTCTTGCCCCCACCTTCCTGCAAATGAAGATCCTGGAAGGCAGTGGTAATGATTCAAGAAATTGGATTCCTGGATTGATTTCTACCTCCAGGCTTTGGCCTGGCCCATCTCCAGTCTTTGGGGGCATTTTGAGAGTGACCAGTGGATGGAAGCTCTGTCTACCTGTCTTTCTTTTTCTCTCTCTTTCTCTGTGTGTCTAAAATAAGTAAATTCGTAATTTAAAATAAGAGCTACGAGTTAGAGTTAACTCAGCGCAAAGCCAGTATCTTGACAGCATCTTCCATGACTTTCCATGATGGCTCCTCTGTCTCTTTGGCCTCATCTCTTGGCCCTTTTCCTCTCTGGGGTCTTCAGCTTCCCAAGCCTCTTTCTTTTGTGATGCTACGTACCATCACTCCAGTGAGCCTGGGCCTGAGTGGTCCCTCTTCGTCCAGTGATATTCTGGCACACACCTCCATCTTGGTGATGTCGACCCCGCTGTCACCTTCTGTGCAAGGCTCCCTGATCACCCTCATTACATAGGGAGATTACTGATGCCATAGACAGGAGTGTCAATTGGTAAAGTCAACAACAGGAGTCACTGTGCACTTACTCCTCATGTAGGATCTCTATCCTTAATGTGCTGTACATCGAGATTTAATGCTATAACGAGTACTCAAACAATATATTTCACTTTGTGTTTCTATGGGGGTGCAAACTGTTGAAATCCTTACTTAATGCATACTAAACTGATCCTCTGTAAAAAAAAAAAAAAAGAAATTATCAATTCCCAACTTGACTCTCACTGGGATTAAACATGACAATAGGTCTGCTCTGATTTCATCATCATTTAAAAAAATCATCTATTATTTTTCACTTTATGTTTCTGTGTGGGAGCAAACTGTTGAAATCCTTACTTAAGGTATACTAAGCTGATCTTCTGTATATTAAGATAATCGAAAATGAATCTTGATGTGAATGGAAGGGGAGAGGGAGTGGGAAAGGGGAGGGTTGTGGGTGGGAGGGACGGTATGGGGGGGAAGCCATTGTAATCCATAAGTCGTACTTTGGAAAATTATATGCATTAAATAAAAGTTTAAAAAAAAAAAAAAGATTGCACCCTTCCTCCAACCTACCTCCAAGCCCCACTTCCTGCTGTTTGTTTTCCCTCTCTTGACACTTGCTACTTTCCAGCATCCTGTAGAACTGGCTTATTTTGTCTAGTGTTTATTCTCTCTCTCCCTCCACTAAAATATAAACATCTCAAAGGCAAGAGATGTGTGTGGTTCATGCTGCATGTCAAGTACCTAGAATAATGCTTGGACCATAGGAGGGTCTACAAAAACCTTTGCTGAATGCTGCTGATGGTGGTGTCCTTGAGTAGGGAAAACAAATGAAGGGTAAAAACAATTCTGACATGAATTCTGGGCAAGTGCAAGTGGAAAATCATTATAGTAGATCTTGTACCACTTGAGTTATTGGTATTGAGAATCATTTTTGCAACTGCCCTACCAAATATAACAGGGTTAAGTCTTTGTGGCTGTGATATTATGTAGCTTGTTTTATCTAGGTTTAGTTTGCTTGTAAATCGATCAATGTCTTACAAGGATTTTAACACGGGGAAAGGACATAGTTGTAGACCTTGGAATGCGTTTTTTAAGCCTTTATTTTTTCACTGTAGCTCTTCTCAATAGTTGTGGCTTTGTCAGAACTTGCTGCACATGGCCTTTTTTTCTTTCCAGCTATAGGTGGCAGCACACTACTGCCTACGACCATATACACAGGATACACAGGCTGGGTTTGTGAAATCAGAGCTGTTGGTCAGGAGACAGTAGCTAATGAGTAATCAGTCCAAGCTGAATGGCAAATTAATGCCTTCATTAACTGAACAAACTAGCTTCTTTTATACACAAGGTCAGAGTATTTATTACCCAGTGCACTTCGTAAAGCAAAACTCAGGTACATTATGTAACTTTACTATGGACCTCCTGATTTATCTGCATGTAGCATATGCAACACCTCACTTGGAATTCATCTTTAATAAGGACTGGTACCATTCTGATATATTTATTGATAAAAGTCACTCTTGATCCAAAGCCTCATTTTTCTCACATAAAGTAAATGAAAAAGCGATTACCTTAAGCACAAGCCACTCTTACAAAATGACATTGGGTGGCCTGTTCCAAATTGAATTCTTAGCAATAAAAATGAAGTGTGATCTTTATTGATCAAACATGTTTGCCACTTAGGTTAGATGAAAACTTATTTAACATTTGGAGTAGGTTGCACAGATACAAAGTTTATTACTTACCATCTACTGTATGTCACATTTTAAGTGAGTCGAATGCTTAATTTTATCACCATTGTCAGAGAACAATGTGAAGATTGCAAAAACTCTTCTTACACAGAGACCGTCAGGAACCTAGTGAAGTTCTCATTGCAGATCAGTATGTGTAATAGAAATAGAAAGTGAGATCCAAACTGTAAATTGCATATGAAATTTTAAATTTTCTAGAAACTATTTTAAAGACTAAAAAAAGTATCTGAATTATTCTAATACATTTTATATGTAAACTGATACAACCACAATATTTTTATCATGTAGCCCATATAAAAATCCTGGAGATATTGCACTTTTTTCTTCCCTTTAATCTGGGTATATTCATGTTTATAGCTCATCTCAGTTCAGTTTACCACATTTTAGATCTTCAGTAGCTCTGTGTGGCCATTGGATACCATAATGTCCAGCTCAGCCATAAAGACTTAGTAGTACCAATAGAATAAATAAAGGGGAGAGCTATCCAACATGGGAAGCGAGATACACAGCAGAATCATAGAATGGCGGATGTCCTAAACAGCACTCTGGCCTCAGAATCAGCCCTAAAGGCATTTGGATCTGGCTGAAAAGCCCATGAGAGTATTTCAGGCATGGAATGCCAAGACACTGTGGCAAAAAAAAAAAAAAAAAAATCAATCTCTGAGTGAGATCCCAGTGGAAAGAACAGGTCTTCAAAGAAGGAGGTACCTTTCTCTGAAGGGAGGAGAGACCTTCCACTTTGACTATGACCTTGTCTAAATAAGATAAGAGTTGGTGAACTCAAAAGGCTTCCATAGCCTTGGAAACTCATGACTGGAGCATAGGGAGATTACTGATGCCATAAACAGTAATGTCAATTTGTAAAGTCAACAACAGGAGTCACTGTGCACTTACTCCTCATGTGGGATCTCTGTCCTTAATGCGCTGTACATTGAGATTTAATACTATAACGAGTACTCAAACAGTATTTTTCACTTTGTGTTTCTCTGTGGGTACAAACTGTTGAAATCTTTACCTAATGTATACTAAACTGATCTTCTGTATATATAGAAAATTGAAAATGAATCTTGATATGAATGGAAGGGGAGAGAGAGCGGGAAAGGGGAGGGTTGCAGGTGGGAGGGAAATCATTGGCGGGGGGAGCCAATGTAATCCATAAGCTGTACTTTGGAAATCTATATTCATTAAATAAAAGTTAAAAAAAAGACTTAGTAGTATCTGCCATGAGTTGAATTGTGCACACCGCCACACCCTGACATTCATAAGTTCAATTCCTAACCTTTAGGAGCTCAGAACCTTTGACTGGCAGTTGCACCCTTGCTCTGCAACTCTGTGATGTTCCTTTTTTATTTATTTGCATGCGTTTCATAAATACAACATTAAGAACATAGTAATTCTTCCCATCATACCAGCCTTTTCACCAGCTCTCCTACTCCACTTCCTCTTCTGTTTCTTGTTCCCTGTTCTACTTTTTCACTAAGATATATTTTCATTTAACTTTATATAGAGAAGATTAACTCTATTCTAGGGAAAGAATTCAACACATTATATGAGAAAGAAAAAGGAAAAGAAAAAGACAGGAAGAAAAAAAAAAAACAAACAAACTATTCCTCAACAGTCCAGGCAAGGGCTGTTCAAAGTTATTGCATCTCCAATGTGATTTTGCCCTTTCCCCCCTTCCTCTTTTCCCTTCTCTCCTCCACCTTCTTTCCTTTTAGAAACTTAATTATTTTTAAAGAACCCAAGAATGATACATCTTTTGTGAGGTTTTAGACATAACTCTGAGACATAAGAATATCCTCCACTTAATATACTAGATGAAAGTGATTCTTGAGAACAAGTTTTATTATTAAGTCTCATGATACAACTCTTTGAAGACAGAGGTCCTGCATGGGAAGTTAGTGCACAGTGACTCTTGTTTATTTAACAGTTAATGCTCTTATGTATGATGTCAGTGATTGCCAGAGGCTCTTGACATGAGCTGCCTGGGCCATGGAAGCCTTTTGGATCCACTAACTTGACAAGGGCAAAAGAGAAAAGTGCATCCTTCTTTGGTGGATGCTTATTTCCACTGGAGTCTCATTCACAGAGGTCCGTAATGTAGAATATTTTTGCCATAGCTTTTCATACTGGAAATGCTCCCCTGGGCTTTTCAGCCAGACCAGATGCCTTAAGGGCTGACTTCGAGGTCAGGGTGTTACTTAAAGCAATTGTCATTCTATGAGTCTGCTGTGTGGACTGCTTCCCATGTTGGAGTGTTCACTCCTTTTAATTCTGTCTATTATTATTACCAAACATTTAGTTTTATTAATATGGTCACTTTAACACTTGTTCTTATATATATGGTCACTTTACCACTTAATCCTAACCATTTGATCTATCTTCATAACACTTATGTTGCTATTTTTATCAGCTAACTTAAGGGAATT